AAACCTAGAGATGGGCGACATATTGTGAGCTCAATGCCTTTTAGTGTGGTAAATGGAGTTTCGCTTCACACCTTACGGCTCGCTGACTTTCTTCTGTTTGAATGGGCTGTGGATCGGCATCGTAGCTCACCTTCAATATCCCGTAAAAAGAGCCACTGCGACAGGTAGTCAAACGGATGCAGTGGTGTGAGATGGCTTTTGTAGCAGGAACACAGCCGTTTAGTGTTACTCGGAAGAACTACTCGCCTGGTTAAAGCGGCAGGAGATGAACAAGTTCAAGGATCGTTGAAGAGCCCAGAGTTGTGTGTACACTCGTTTTTTTCCTAAAAAAAAATTCTGAAGACAGAAAGCCAATCATTTAAGTCTTTTTTTTTATATTTTGAAATGCAGGGTTTCTGTAGACATGGAAGACCTGGTGTCATTTTAATTTTTTAATAATTTCTTTTTGCTTAGTCTCTTTATTAATCTGGGGTTGCCAGCATAATGAACTGCCAACTTATCCAGCATATGGTTTATGCAGCGAATGCCCTTCCAGCTGCAACCTATCACTGGGAAACACCTATACACTCCCATTCACACACATACAATATGGCCAATTTAACTTGACCGGTTCACCTATAGGGCATGTCTTTGGACTGTGGGAGAAACCGGAGCACCCGCAGAAAACAGGGAGAACAACTCCACACAGAAATGCCAACTGACCCAGCCGCTACTCACTGTGCCACCGTGCTGCCCTGGTGTCATTTTACTGTCATTTTTTCTTTGTATAATCTTCACTGAAATATTCAACCTGGTATTTCTTACACTTGTACAATAACATCTCAATATTTTATTCTAATATTTTATTATATTTTATTTTAGTTTTTATGATGTGTGAGCTAATGATAAAGTAATAAAAATAACACAAATTTAATTAAAGCAATAATAATTTCACAAAATGAAAATTATTTCATCATTCATTCTCCCTCATGTGATAAACCTTTGACTTACTTTCTGAACAAATAAAATATATTTTTGTAGAATGCTGGTTGCTGGCACCCATTGACTGAAACGTTTTACTATGGAAGTCAATTGGTGCCAGCTACAGCTTAAGAATTCTTCTAAATATCTTTTTTTTTTGTTCAACAGTAGAAAGAAACTAAAAAAGGTTTTGAACAAATGAAAAGTGAGTAAATGATGCCAGAATTGTCATTCTCCTTATTAAATGTTTCACTCAGTCAGCCAAAAAAATTACTAGAATGTGTATTGAGAGTCTATTCTGTGCCTAGCGAGAAGAGATGCAAAAGCCACAACATCTAGTTACATTTTTATTGTTTGTTTCTGTTTTGCCAACTATACTTGTTCAAAAAAATCTAGACAGGTAGTGTCAGAAACAAGTCAAGGTCATTTTTTTTCTGAACAAAGTTTAATAATTTTTAGTTTATAAAGTTAATTTATTAATTGGAAATAGTTTAAATATCTGCAGTCTAACAAATTAATGCTTTAAAAAGTACAAATATTCCACTTAGTCTTGGTCATTTAAAGGTCAAAATTCCCACATTGTAATAATTAAAAAAACTAATTTCTGTAAAAAAAAAAAAAGTTTATGAGTGTCACATGAAGTATTTTGTGTTACCACGCTCTTTTCCAAGCTGTACAGTGTTTTGATTCGGCATGTAACCCACTAATAAGTGCCTCATTCCTTGAGCAAGTCTGCATTGCATCTGTAAACAGTATGTGTGATAAGGAGTTAATTAGGGTATCATTATTCAACTTTTCTCCAGCAGCTTCAGCCACGTCCCCCAGGCGCTCCTTCACGGTCCTTATGTGTCCGAGGCCCTCCGTGCTCTGCTCCTTGGGTCAACATGTACTTCCATGTCAAATAGGTCATCCATGCGAAGCCGAGATTTTAATCTTAATAGGCTTTCCTGGGTAAATTAATAATCCGAAAGTAAAACAAACAGCGGTGGGTCTGCGGTGAACGCTGTGGTTAGCCAGAGCTATGGCTGGAGATGTGTAATGACAGTGTTAGTGGGTGCGAGCCAGTCTCACTTAGGCCTCTGTTGAAGAGTAGCTGGTTGAAGGTAGCAGCTAGTTCATATAGGCAAAGGTAAACATGGTAGCATAACAGGAAGCCCCTCGTGTGTAATATGTTTCTCCTTCAAATGTAGGAAAGGAAGGAGGGCTTTTAGCGTATTATGATAAACCTTTGTCAGTGTACACCTCACGCATATACAGTTTACTTCTTGTTGTAGTTAACAGTTTTGAACATAGTTCCAGGTTTACAAGTGCACATCAAAGGCATTTCAGTTGAGTTCACTGCCATTTTTTGCCTATTTCAAGGGTTGCTAGGGAGTTGTGGATGGTTGCTGATGCATTTATATGCAATTACTTAAGTTATTTAGCATGTTTAAATGGTTACTAGGGTGTTCAGGCTGTTGTAGAGCACTTTTCACATTATAACCAGCAAGACATACCAGAGTAAAGCTATAAAAATAAAATTCTAGTTGATTGCTAAGGTGTTACAAGTGGTTGTTGAGAAACTGATGTATACTTGTTAAGATGATAAAGGGAGCTATTTTTTAATTCAGTGAGGTTTTTGAGCTGCTTAGTTCTAGGGTGTTGCAGGTGGTTGCTGATATGTTGATTTATTGTTACTACCATTCAAAGTTTTTAGATAGTGTTGCCAGAACGTTTGAATACAGTTTAAGTTATTTTTACTACCATTAAACTAATACTAAAGATGTTCTGAATGGTCACTATAGTGTGTTTTGAGATATTCATTAGCATTTGTTAGTTTTAAAATAATTAGGAATACGGAAAGTAGGAATAATATTTGTAATATTTGCTTTAGGGTACGTTTTTTTAGCCTGTTTAAATGGTTACTAGGGTGTTTAGGCTGTTGTAGAGCAATTTCTAGGGTGTTTAGGCTGTTGTACAGAAATTTCTACATTGTAACCAGCAAGACATATCTGTGTAAATCTCAAAAAGTAAATCTAGTTGGTTGCTAAGGTGTTGCTTGTGATTGTTGATGAATACTTGTTAAGGTGTAATAATTTTTTAATTCAATGAGGTCACTGAGGTTGTTGAGGTTGCTTGTTTTTTATCTTTTTTAATTTCTAGGATGTTGCAGGTGGTTGCTGATACGTTGATTTATGGTTACTAATGTGTTTTGATCATTCAAAGTTTTTAGATAGTGTTGGAGAACATTTAAACACAGTTTAAGTAATTTTTACTACTTTTAAAGGGTTACTAAAGATGTTCTGAATAGTCGCTAGTGTGTTTTGAGAAATTTGTTAGCAACCCTGGGTTTCAATCAAACCTTTCACACAAAGAATAAATGATTAAAGGAATTAGGTATACAGGAAGCAGGAATAATGTTTGTAATGTTTGCTTTAGTGACCAATAAAAACACTTTATGTACTTACTAAAGTTTTCACAGTATTATTAATTGATAATTGTAAATGATTAATCCTATCTCAACTGTTCTGCCCTCACACACCTGTGTCTTGTTCTCGTCAAATAACCTTCATTGTTCTGAAGAATGAAACGTACCCCTAACCCTTCTATGCACACTTGAAATCATTGACTCCCACATGCCTCTCTCTGTTCTTAAAGCTTTTAATCAGAGCAAGGTGTGCCATACTGGGCAGTTTCACCGTGATAAAGCACATGCAGGCCTATGTTTACCTGTGTGGAGAAGATAGAGGCCCATTCAGCTGATTTTTGAATCAGTAACCAGTGTGTAAACACCTTTCTTGTGCTTTATTAACTTAACACAAACCTCTTACGCAAGCAAACAAAACCACAAAAACACCCGTAATGGGCTATGTCCAGTTCACGGTGGTGAGTTTGTTCTTTAACTTTCATGGACATTATCTAAATCACAAAGGTAGACACTCGGTGTACTACTTATGTATACCACCCATTATCACCACAGACTATAGTGGTAGATCAAAAACATTTGCCACCCAGAGCAAACATTTTTGAAAAGTTGGTAAGATACACAACATGATTAATATGAACAAAAAAAAAAAACACTGCAAGTTCTTGATAATTACTGCAAGAAAATGTATTCTCCTGAAATGTATAGCAAAGAAAACTCCTACAAAGTCTTTATGGCAAAGGGTAATACCTAAATATGTACCACTGGACTACTTAACTTGTGTTTTACATGGTAAAGATGTTTTATTTCAAAAGAGGTGGGGACAATTTTGTTGCATATGGGTTTAAACACAACCTCCATACTCATCAGAGGGTTGATTTAATGAGGTCAGATCTTTTTTTTTTTTTATGGTGTATGCAATATCTCTAATTTTAATGACCCCTTTTTTATTTTCTTTATTTTAACTATTATTCTTATTGTTATAAGTTCCCCCGTTTTCTCCTGTTTTCTTGTTTGTTGTTGTATCTGTTGTGCCTGAAAATTTTATAAGTACATTATTTAAAAAATGGTGCCGCAGCGGTTTGTTTTTCTATTTTGCTTGAAGTGTATCAAGTCATATCAGATTAGCACAAAAAAGTCATTTGTGATGATCTCTGGCTGGCTTCTACCATCTGTGGACCTAATCATAACTGTTGTACAGGACGTAATGAAAACTGCATTGAGATTAGGGGCGGAGGGCAAATTTTACCAGCGTTTTTCCAGACAGGTGTTGCGCGTTTCAGTTCATTCAATCATAAATAAGGCAGCCTGTCTCAATACTGTCAGGTTTGCAACGCTGAGAGAAAGGTGGACAGATGATTTACAGGACACATTCATACGCCACCTGCCAGGTGTTTAAGCTGCCTTTTAGTGGAATGCTGAAAAAAAAAGATGAATATGCCTTATTATGGAGGCACTTTAGGCCCTAAGCAAGAAGCTGATCTTGTTTTATCCTGTATTCATTTTTTTGATGCCTTTAGACACATATGACTCCTTGCACCCAGTTACTTGATCATAGATACCTGGTATATATAAATTAAAAAAAAGAAGTGTTAGCAAAAAATTAACCTGTTTTTCTCTCTCTGTTTCTGTTTAGCTGCAAGAGTACTACAAGAAGCAACAGGAGCAGTTGCACCTCCAGCTCCTTACCCAGCAACAGCAAGCAGGGAAGCAGGCCAAAGAGGTGAGAAAGTCCTGCCCCCTCTCTCTGTAGTGCACTTCACAGTGTACTTCACCCTTATGGCACCCTACATGAGCATCCTCAAGAAGGCTGACACATCATTTGTCACCCAGCAGAGGCCAATTCCTCTCAAAACCAGAAGCCAACTCTTTGAAAATAACTGTATTCTGTTATGTGAGATGATTGAATGAGCGATTTTGTGCTGCACTGAGCGGCACAGACCTTATAAAGGCTCTGTAATCACTGCGCATTACATGAAATCCTCGGCAGGAAAATAGACGGATGCAGTTCCTCCTCTCTCGAACGCTCAATTGCATTTTGTGTATTAAGTGATTCAAAAATGCGGATTAAGACATTTGGGGAATATGGATTTTCATTTCTCTGCCACTGACCAAAGTCATGCTCCAAACCTTACCAACGGCTTCCCCGCTAATACTCGTTAAGTATTAATTTACAAGTCGCCGCTTGCTAAGCCTAGTGGAAAATCCCTATTACAACCCGCTATGGTGGAGCCGACGACTTTCTTTAATTGTCAATTAAGGCACTGGAGGAGGAGAAGGACCTGATCTGGGTAATGAAGGTGAGGGGGAATCATGTTGGATCATTGAGGATAAGACTACAGCACAACAAAGGCAAGGGCATAATCACTCGTCTGCGCACTGTGGGAGAGGAGATCTGCGCTAATCTCGCGGTCAAATGAAATCCGAACTCTCGCGGCCTGTGTGTCATTGGCATGAGCTATATCTGATACAACCTAATCAAGGAGTTTACAAGAAGACTTAATGAACAAACAGCTTAGTAGAGGAATTAGCACATAATGGCCGTTATAAGTTTCTGAAGGTATAATAACATTGAATAAAAAATATCACTATTTCAGGTTATTGTGATTACTGCTCCAAAATAAGTTATTTTTAAATGTCTGGGCAAAAAAAACGAAAACTTTTTCCCCCTTTGAACACAATATGTTTAATTTTGAGAAACATTTCAAGTATTTTGGAACAGTAAACATGTCAGGCTAAATAATTCAAAAGAATCTTTGACTTCTGGTATCTTCATTAGTTTAAAAATACAGACTTTACTTTGAAGATCTTTTCTGCTGGAGAAACTGATGTCCTAAAAAAATTTTAAAAATGTAAATAAAAAAAACGTATACCTTATGAAGGGTATAGCAGAAAATTGTGGTAGTTTTAAAGCCTTTATATGTCCAAACCACAGTATACCTTGAAAAAGATTGTCATCCCATGACTAGTGGCTAGCACATTGTTTAGCAATATTCAGGTTACAGTGGCTTGTGTAGGCGAAAGAAAAGTAGGGGACTGTGTTTGCGCCAAGCTGAAAACGGCATCTTAAACCCGCCTAAGAAACATTTTAAACATTAAATGTGTTTCTGATGATCTACATTTCCCCAATGTCAAACTAAACTGGTGTTTAGGATGATGTCACTGGTCAGTCTGATAGATTTAAAGAATAACTCTTTGGAAATAACCCCAAATCGTGAAAATAGCATACAGATTCTAGCAAAATGCAGCTTATGGAAGTCAAACTTATCTTAACTTGTCTCTTAACCTGGCTTACTAGTGATTAAGATGGTGTTACATACTAATTATATGTTTTAAAAAAAGAAGACCGTGATTAGGACAAAAGAGATCAGCACAAAACTGCATGCTGCTAGATTCAAAGAGAAAATTTCAAAGAGGAAAATGGATTGCGGAATTTAGGGGACCGCTATTTAAAAAAAATATAACCAATGGCTGCAACCTATTTTCAAGTACAAAACATAGCTAAAACCTTGTTTTTTCAGCAGTCTGCCAAAAACTTTTTATCAAACAGCACATATTCCTGTCTGAGCTGTGAAGGAATGAAGATGAGAGCATCAGAAAATGAATGAGCTCTTGACTTTATAGCAGGTGAGAGCCTGAGGAGGGTGACGTAAGGAAGAAGGGGGGCTATATTCTATAGGCCAAGGAGGACAGGGATTAAGACCCGTTAAATATGCCTCAGACAGCATTGTGACTGATAGAGCAAATGCGTGGCAAATGCATGAGGTGCCTGAAACACACGGAGCCACACACACACACACCCACACACACACACACACACACATACACATACACGCTCTTCAAATGAGACCAGTATCCTGACATTTTCCACAGATAGTCAAGAAACGTGACAGAGACCGAGAAAAAAAAAGAAAAGGGAAAAAGATTGAAAAGTGAGAGGGAGAGAAAAGGTATAAAAAAGCTTGACTAACCTTATTCAAGGCCTCAGGAGTTTTTCAGACATTTTCCCTTATTAAATATTGGAGCTAGGGAGATGGTGTTCTCTCCGAGTGAAGAGAGCAGGGAAATTAAATCGGGAGGGCAGTGGTCAGCTCTTCTTCCCCGTGGATCTGCGCACGTTTGTTCAGGGCCTCTTTAGTTGGCCTGAAATATGGCTCTATGCAGGTATGTAAACGTGATTATATAGCTAACACATTGGATCTTGCAAGATGTAAAGCATTTTTCTAGACATTAAATCGAGTAAAATCATTGTTAAGCTGATAAATGGATGCTGTCCAGACTATCACTACAAGGGGAAAAAATACAGATATAAACGAATTGGGTTAGGCCTTGTTCAAGGTTTCATCTGTGTGTGTTTATGTGTGTGTTGTCTGTGGTGTCATGGTATTCCCCTGGGGACGAGTGCACTGACAGCACTGGACTAAAAGTGAAGCAGTCAGGCGTGAGCAGAAGATAGCAACAGAAAGATGTGTGGTGTTTCTCATCCCTCAAGCCTTCTTTTAAAGTCCTTCATCCTCTGAAACCTCCCTTTCTTTTTTTTCTGCCATGCTATTGGTGTGACCGGCATAGGAACGGTACAGTTTTATTATTACTTTTCATTATTAAATATTGGATTTATTTTATTTCACTTTAATTCATCATTATTAGCATTACTGACCTACAGTTTTACTTTTAAAACTAATGGATTACAATATTGAGTTACTCCCCATTAATCTAGTTGTGTTACTTGGTTAGTTTGTATGCTATGTAATGTGTTACTTTGTTTCTGTGTTACTTTTCCTTATGTTTACTGAGGCTTGATCTCTGACAGAACTTGCAGGTTGTTTTTTCTTCTTCTTCTTCTTCTTCTTCTTCTTCTTCTTCTTCTTCTTCTAAATAGAGGAGTTCTGCAATCAAAACAGACTGTATAACCTACACCTTTGTTTACCTAAAAAAAACACATAAAAAATATAAAATGAGACAATGTTATCTTTTGAGAACTTCCTTACCCCAAAGCTGTACCGTATATACAGACCCCAGAGCCGTATATACAGAATAATGAAAGTTTAAAGCAATCTGTTTGTTACTTTTGTAATTTTTACTTTTTAGTTATAAAAAAATCACTGTTCATTGAGACAATGCCATTTTCCTTTATTTATTTTTTTAAGTAATGCGCTAATTGTTACTTTAAGCTGATATATACTTTCACCTGACGATTATTTTAAGCGTAAAGCGTTTCTTTCAAATTTTTCCTAAAAAAGATCTTCAACATTTTTCTTGAAGATCTATATCTTTATTGATTTATGAGTCTACTAACAAGAAAGCTGTAAAAACTGAATCTCTTTAAAAGATACATTTACCTGGCATGTAATGTGATATAATGTAATGTACATGTTTCATTTTGTAATAAAATAGCGAACGGCTTTAGAATAGTGATATTATTGCTCAAACTGATATTACTTGTGATGCGTTACCCCCAACACTGCTGACCTGTTTATAAACTTTTCATTTGAAATTTGAAAATCTTAGATGTTTTCTGTTTTTCATGCGCTAAAAATGGAGAGATGACAGGCTATGCTCTCCCTTAGTGAAAGATGCTTTAATTGCCACCCATATCACTGCCAGTCAGCACAAGCGGGTTGAGAGGTGAGAAAAATGGATGGAAGAGAGGGAGAGATGGTTGCCACACACATTTTTGCATCATCAGTCCTGACTTTTGCTCTTTTTCTGTTTTTTATTGTTTTAGCCACTCTCTCTCTTTCTCTCAGTTTGACGGTTGAGCTGTGGAGTCACCCTGGAGTCAGCCTAATGAAGTAGCGCTGTCAGTCGGGCCTGGCGTGCCCAAACTCTGTTTGATGTGCTCATAAATCAAGCTGACAGGCCTGTTACTCCGCTAGCTTTAGCCACTCAACTGCATCTAATGTAAACAGCGTGCAGACACAATGTGTTAAAGAACTTGAACTGTGTCCCATGGGACCCAAACAGAGAGTGAAAGAGAAAGGAGAGAAGACAGGAATGAAGAGGAAGAGGATGGGAGATGGATAGACATGCTGAATATTGGCGCTACTTCACTTATTTAGCTTGTGTGTTCTCTGTTCGGGCTGTTATCGCATCCGTCATTCTCAAAGTTTCAAAAGAGAACTGGTTTAACTGTATGGAGCTGGAATCAAGAAAATGTTAAGGAAGAAGTTCAATCTTGTCTTCAAGAGTCTTCATGTAGAATTAAAAAAAACAACAACAACAGCTTCGTATTAGCGACACAAGTGGCCATTAAGTGAACTGCAGCCAGCAATTTGCAATGTGCAATAGACTGAATGTGATATTAACCGTACTCACACTGAAGTTCTCTTCCCATTTCCAAAATTAGATTGTAAAAATAAAATTAGCAATGATCACAAGATTAAGTTTTGACATTATGTTTAATATTTTGAAAGTATTAAAAGTAACTGTAACATTATTAGAGCATTCTTTGGAAATTTCTTGTCTTTAGAACATCATTAAAAGTATGTTTTTGTGAATTTATATGTATACTAATAAATATGTATTGTGATGAATGTAACTTTTTGGTAGCTGTTTGGTTCCAAAATTCTGAGACACTTAACTGAAAACAATGCCGTCAAGAGAGCTTACATTTAAAACATGTGTTACAACCTTGGTCTATGGTCAAGGACATAACATAAAAGAACACTAGACAAATAAATCACTTTTATAAATCCCTGGAGTTTTTAAACACCCAAAACGTGAAGCCAAATACCTCAGAGAGGATCCACAAAAAAATAAAAAAAAAATAAAAATATATATCCGCTACCTAAACACCCAAATGAAACTAAATACACCTAACAAAATAACAAAATCAAAAATATAAAAACTGCTCCTACCTCCCTGACTATATAGAAAAACAGAAGAAAATATTTACAGAAAAGAAAAGTGTGGCGTCCAACCCCTACTGCTTCTCACTGTGTCTATACAATAAACAAAAGTCAAAGTTTATAAATACACCAAAATGGGGGAACACAATCAAATGTAAACACTTAGCAACTATATAATATAATTCATATAATTCATAGTTAAAAGGCTGTTATTTTACATAAAATTTTAGATTGATATTTTATGAGCAGACTATTATTATAAAGCCATTGTCAGACGACTGAAATCATTTGGATAATATTAATTAGCTCAGTCTTATACTTGAGTTGTTCCAAACTGTTATGATGATGCTAACTTTGAAGACTGATGTTAGTGTAGGCAATAGGGAACAAATCAGCTCAATAGATTCTGGAAAGGGCTTGTGTCTTCTCTCTTCTCTGTTGATGTTGACCCATGTGGCCTTTTCCCATGAGGCCTTGTGCCCCGGGCGGCGGCCTCAAACACTTCTCTGACAGTGAGATTAAGAAACTACCTTTAATTATTTTTCTTTTTTTATTTTCCTTTCCTCCTTCAACATTTTTTTTCTCTCTGCCCCTCCACTTTTTTGAGCCGTTATCTTGAAGGAGATAAGACGCATCTCTCATTGGGGGAACATCAAAAAGCATGTCGCTGGAAACAGCAGTTCTACTCAGGCCAGTTCAGGAAAGAGGACATTTATCACAACGACACCAACTGACCTTATCGCCACATGCCATGTATTCCATAGCACTCACACTTACACACAACACACACTCAACTCGCCAAATTCTGCTCCTCTCTGACCTAGAAGGGGTCATTTTATTGTTCTTACTATAATGAAAACAAACAAACCAACGTGTTTTTGTTTTTTTGTTTTTTTAATCAGTTCTGCAACACTGATCATAGATTTACCATGACATTTGCTGGATGGGCTGTTTGTAAAAAAAACAAACATTATAAACTTATTATTAATTTTCTTGCGGATTTTTCTTATTTTACATACAATTGAAGAGAAAATTATTAGCCCCCACTGTGAAAATGTTTTTTTTTTTTTTAATATAAATAACAGTTGTGTTAATTAGAGATGTCCCGATCAGGTTGTTTTGCCCTCGAGTCCAAGCCATTTAATTTTGATTATCTGCCGATACTGAAACCCAATCTGATACTTTTATAAAACATAAAAAAAGAATAAAGAAGAGTGAAAAACAGATCCAGGATGCTGCTTATTTTTATTTAATTTACCTTATTTTAACATTAAACATATTTAAGTCCTAATCGGGAGGGAACGTCCGATTCCGATCGAGTCTGAAACCATGCGATCGGGCCTGATTTCGGATAACGTGATCGGATCTGCACATCCCTAATTATAATATTTTTCTTTTTGGAAAAAGTTGGTTTGTTTAGTTTCGTTTAGCTGAAGTAAATGTTTAAAAAAATAAGCTCAAAATTTTTATTCAATTCCAGTATTTTTTGTATAGCGCTTTTTACAAAGATGCACATTTTTGCATTACAAACAAATTAAGTTTGTAAAGGTACGATCAAATATAAGTTATTGTATAAACATAGCTAGCATGCAGTTTTGGCATATAGGTGATGTCTATGTGTTTATGTAGGGGCAGATTTAGTGATTTGGCGGCCCTAAACAATTCTAGCCAATGGGCCCAACAGTTCTAAAATGCATGTTTTGTACTTTCATTTATTTTGCTGTTATTTTTTCTTATATCACTAATTTTTCACGTCTTTTCTACATTTTTTCTTAATGTTAAAAAATAATAACATGTAAAGCATCTTGTAAAATCTTGTAAAATTTTTAAATTTGAAAAAAGAAATTTGAATGATTAAAAAATTTAGTATTTCATTTTTAAAACTAAATCTTTACTGATTTGACTGATCCATGATTAAGGGTGGGGGACACATTTGCGAAAAAAGAAAATAAATGAATGAATGAGACCCCCTCCAAACAAATTACGATAGAAAACAATATTATATATAATTTATGAGTATAATTCTAGGTATTTATGTGTGCGCCCTGTGATTCCTGGGGCCCTAAGAAGCTGCTTACCTTGCTTATTGGTTAAATCCACCCCTGTGTTCATTTAGCCCTCCTAAGAATTATTATTTTCTGGTTGGCTACAGAACAAACTACTGTTGTCCAATAACTTGCCTAATTAACCTAACTTGCCTAGTTAGCCTAATAACATAGTTATGTTTCTAAAATGCACTTGAAGCTGATTACTATCTTGCAAAAATACCTAATCAAATATTATTTTCTGTCATTGGGATAAAAACAAAAGAGTTTAGTCATTATAAATTGAACCTATTAGGTTTAAAAAGTTATTTTTTTTTTTAAACAGCACAAAAAAAATATATATATATACATATATATATATATATATATATATATATATATATATATATATATATATATATATAATTCATGGGAAGGAATTAAATTAATAAAAATTAAATTTAATTAATTAAAATTATTAATTAAATTAAATAAAAATTTTGCCTTCAGCTGTATAAATGCAGTCATTCATTGTATTTTTGACCCAAAACATTTGAACAGTAGTGTAGTCCTTGTCCAAGCTCCCAAAAGGTCATCGGTTACCATGTTGGGTGACTTTAAACATCATAAATTACACACATCACCTTTAAAGCACCGCTTTCCAGTCTAATTCTTCACCTTGGCCCTTTTTTCTGTTCCTTTCCACCTTTGGCTAAAGATGTAAAAGCTTTTTCCTCACTCATGTCTTGTTTTTATACAAGTTTAGGGCTAGTCTTGGAGTACACTCTACTTATGTCATAGCTGATAAAACGGTTTGCTCATTTTTCATCTCTTTGTTAAACGTCACCAGGAGTCGGCTGGAAGAAAAAATAAATCTTTTGATAGTTGAGTGATGAGTATCCACACACATTGTGACCTGTTTATGAAACAGAGAAAGAGGGGTTTGGAGTCACGCTTCTCGAGTTTCGCAAAGCATATTTCATGCGTAGTGAAAAAATACCAAGCCTTATCGTAAAATGATAAACATCTGATGTCATATAATCTGGAACTGTTCGTAGCATTGCGCGCAGATGTTGTTAGTCACTGTTTATTGCCGTGTTAATTGCTCGCCAACCACATGCTAACAGATTGCTAAACGCAGAAACGAACAAGCATGTTTGCGAGTGTGTCAGTTCTAGACCACATGGACCTGTCACTCACAGATTAATGTGTTATCTCTTAATGCACGAGGCTTCACAATGCACTTCCACACTTTGAACCGAGACCCAGCGTTTTGTTGTCTGCTTGTTGTCTACCGCCACAGGATGTGCTTTGGTGATTGGAGGGGAAAATATCTCTATTCCAGGATATGTCCTATCTAAACATGTCCTGGACGAGGTTGAAGGCTTATAAAAGCCAATGAATGTCTCATCTTTCCCGCCCTCTCCATCCTGCAGTTTTTTCCTTTCGCTTTTCTCATTGTTGTTTAACATGCCACTCTCTCTCTTTCTGGTTCTCAGCAGCAGCAGTTGGGGAATAAACAGCTGGCTTTCCAGCAGCAGTTGATCCAGATGCAACAGCTACAGCAGCAACACATTCTGAATCTACAAAGACAAGGCCTGGTGAACCTACAGCCGGGCCAAGGAGCAGTACCCATTCAGAGCCTGCAGCAAGGTACACAATAAAATCAAACACAGCATTTGTTGAACCAGACTAACAAGTCACAGTTTTACTGCAAAGAAGTAGCTCATTAAAGTGAGTCTGAATACTGGGTATTTGCCATGGATCTGCAGAGGACTGGACACTTTGACAAGTTGCTATCCCATACATAAAGACCATAGGTGCTGCCCAGCCTTATTTTAGTATATTTTTATTATTAAAGTTTTATCAATATTTATTTCTTTATTTTGCATATTGCTGTAACAGCATGTATATTTCTGTTTTTTTAGCTAATTATCTTTATTTAATATATTCATCTTTTTAAATAAATATATTTTTTGAATAGTTTTGAAAGTAGCAATAACCCTGGTGCTTCCAGATTCAATAATATTATTATTAATAATAATAATAATAATAATAACTTTTAAATCGTATGTTTTTATGTTTTAATTATGATAGTCTATTCAGCTTGAAACATTTAAGTTTGTTTTCAGAATTTGTATCATGAATAAAGAAGCGTTTTGTATTACTAAACGGGCAGAAATTTTAACTTGTTTATACAGTATATAAAAACGTTGAGGAAAGGTGTTTTGATGGAATCAGACAAAATACCCAATAAAATACCTAGATAAAATTCACTATAAAATAATTTACTATTATTTATTATTTTGCATTGTGAGAATTTATTTTAGAGACTTGTGGATACATCAGATTTCCAAGACTAAATAAAAACTTTACAAAAATCTATTTTATTATAGAATTAGCTTGAAAGGTCTTTTAAAGAACATTCCAATAATTGCAGATATAGTAACCAGATGTATTTATACTACACCAAAGCATATCTGCATAGTTTAGTAATAAAAGATGACCAACAAGACAAGTACAATAATTTTATGTACAATTGAAGTCAGAAATATTAGCCCCCTTTTGAATTTAGTTTTTTTTTAATATTTCACAAATTATGTTTAACAGAGCAAGGACATTTTCACAGTATGTCTGATAATATTTTGTCTTCTGGAGAAAGTCCTATTTATTTTTATTTTGGCTAGAATAAAGCTGTTTTAATTTTTGAAACATTATTTTAAGGTCAAAACTATTATCCACTTTAAGCTAGATTTTTTTTTTTTGATTGCCTACAGAACAAACCATCATTATACAATAACTTGCCTAATTACCCTAACCTGCCTAGTTAACCTAATTCACCTAGTTAAGCCTTTAAATGTCACTTTAAGCTGTATAGAAGTGTCTTGATATCTCAATAAAATATCTAGTAAAATATTATTTAATGTCATCTTGTCAAAGATAAAATAAATCAGTTGTTAGAGATGACTTATTAAAACTATTATGTTTAGAAATGTTTTGAAAAACGCTTCTCTATGTTGCACAGAAATTAGAGAAAAAAAATATATATATACAGGGGGGCTAATAATTCAGGGGGCTAATAATTCTGACTTCAATTGTATATCATTAAAAGTGTTCAGTGAAATTATTATTATTTGCTTAGAAACAATAAAGCTTTTCATCTTAATTTAAACTGTAGCAACATGTTAACATCCATCCTTTGAAATCAGGAATAATGGTTGCAAATTGTGGGACATTTATTTGCATATTTATTTATTTATTTCAGCCAGACAGGTTTGTTGCAGATACTGACCCACTCAAATTAACGTACATCTTTCAAGGCAAAAAAAAAAACTCTCTCCCCTAACTTTTTTAGCTGGTCAATACTTCCCACAGACATCTGACATCGTTGAGCCCCAGGGCGAGGTGCTACAGCCACAAGCCTCTCAACCCGGTGGTCTGTCTTTTTCACAGCTCTCCTCTTGTCCTCAACAGCCAGAAAAACACCACAGAACGTCTGATTCGCTCCTTTAGTGATGCCTATTAAAGGAAAGTGGAGCTCTGGAGGAAATGCAGCGTGCTAAATAAATGCAGCATCTGTGTTCGTACCCATAGCCCAAGACCAGATGGCGGTCTCAGGCTGAGGCCAGACCTGCACCCGCCGCCCACTGATTCTTCCTTAGTCAGCCCTCACCACACACATACACACACACACACACACACACACACACACACACACACACACACACACACACACACACACGCGCGTATCGCTCGCTACTACACGCGCAACATTGAATGCTAATAAAGCTGGCTGTAAAATGAATCCCTCATTCTTCTTGCTCCAAAATTTGGCAATCAGCTATCATCTCCATCTATTAGAGCGGGATGGAGTCCCCCCGGAGACTAACTACAGCCATGTACATAGAGCCACATGTGAAGCTTGTTAACTTAATCAGCTCATAAAGAGATAAAAGCAAAGCTTGATTGTTGGTTTTGTGGAAGGCAGTCATTTGGATAATAGGTAAAATATGCCACAAAATTCACTGTGATTTGTGCACAGGTTGGGAGGAAGGGGGGCTAATGTGTGTGCGCACCAGACGTTCTTATCCTACAGAAGGAAATGGAGGTTTTGGATCCTTTCTCAATTAGTTTTTCCATTTTTCCTCGTTTTGTCGAAGGGCCTGACCAGAAATGGGTCTTGACTGCAAACTGGCCACCATCCGCTGAAATTAGACACATCAACTTTTACAGGTTCCACAGCGGTTGTAACATTACGAGTACCTCAACAGGACAGAACAAACAGCGAGCCGACTTCAATTTCCATGCCGAAATCTCTGCCACTCTAGCCGATAGGGCCTCCAAAATGATCCCGGTCTTTTATTAGAGTGCTTGACTCTCATTCTCGCCCATTGCTCTTGACATCTCTGATTATTTCAGTCTTAAGAAAACATAGACTCGTCATCCGGAATCCTGAGTGGCCTTACCACACACACACACACACACACACACAAACACATGCACGGCTGCTTTTAGGAAAAGTAGTCTGCTAAAAGAGAAAAAAAGAAGGGAGAAAGAAGGCAGCGAGGCAGAGGAAGGTTTGCAGATTGATGAAAATAATTTTTCACGACAGCTGTAAACTTTTGGCTTTGGCATCTTACTGGCGTAGACCCCTGCGCCAGTCACCCCCCCCCCCCCCTCCCCATTGCTTATGTCATTGTTTCAAGGGGTCTGAAGAACAATAAACTCTGGGCTCTTGGAATCCCTTCAACAAATCCTGCGACAGAGCAGAATCACGGAATTTCCCCACAATCCCTCTCTGAAAAGAAGCCCTCCATTATGACTGGCCAGCCAACCATGCGCATTCTTCTGGCTAGTCATGCTTGGCCGTAGCTGCCGCTGAAAAGGATTTGTTCTCTGATCCATGGGTGGCGCCAACCGTTGTTGTTGTTGTTTTGGTGTTTGTTTGGCGTGTCCAGTCATTCCCTTTGGAAGGCTAGAGTTTCAACCCCTAAGTGACTCACTGCATTAGAAAGACTGCTTGCCGGGATGGCTTTTGTTTTTTTGTAATATTCACTTAACAGTTACAGTAAGTCATTTTAATTCCTGTCCAAAGGGTGCAACCAGATCTGTCGGACTCGGCTTAATGCTTTGTGATCACCATGCCAAACTTTTCTTCAGGTTTTTTTTTTTTTTTGTGATGCATGGAGCTAGAGAAGGAAGCAGACACAAGAAACCATAGGGGACTTTTTTGATATTGCCTTGTGAACAGCTTTTTATTGTCTATCTAACTTGTGAATATGAATCATATTTAGATGATATACCAAAAGTGTAATCCAGTCCAAGCTGAGCTGAAACAGTAGCATTGAGTCTGTAAGGTTTTATTGAAATAATAAATATTTGTTCAGTCAGGGCGCATTAAAACTGATTAAAAATTAAGCCAAGAATTTTAGAATGTAAACGATTTCTGGTTAAATAAATAGACATGAAAAGGAAACAAATATTTTTCACCATCTATTCATTAAATACTCCTGAAAAAAAAAAAAAACTTATTTACATTAAAAAGGATTTTTTTTGCAGTAAATGTGTATATTGAAGTGATTTATGAACACTAATATGATAATGAAGACTGGAGAATGCTGAAGACTGATGTTGCAAAATCAGTTTTGCCATTTCTGGAATAAATATTTTTAAAAATGTATTACAACTTAATTAAACTTTAAGATTGGTATACCTGTTTTTACTAAATATTTGACCAAACAAAAGTCTTAGTGAGCTCATGCATTCTTTTTCCAAAAACATGAAATTTAAAGAAGAACTGCAAAAATAATGCCTGTTTCCAAACAGGTTTTCTTAACTCATCTTAGCTCATCTGCAATTGGTCCAACAAACTGGTTACCGTGCCCCAAACTTACACCATAGATTGAGTCAGTTTTGCTCTGCCAGTCTGCTCAAACTAAGCAATGTTTTATAAACACCACAGTGTTTATGCTTGTCAGAGAAATGAGCCTGCGAATGGTTTACTTACAGTCCTTGCACTTTCAGTAAAGTTTGAACTTGATGCCACACATCAGCTTTAATTCCTTCTAGACCGACTACCAAATTCTAGATGTTACACAATTTCTGGAAAGCCAAGGTTGGCTTCAAAATTTTCTGCGAAGTGTGTGTGAGTGAAAAAGAGAATGTGTGGCCAACCACAGGGGAAACGCCTCACCTGCCCCTGTGTGCGCGACTGTGTGTGTTTGGAAGAAAATGAAATACAAAAACACTTCACTGTAGGTAAACCGCTCCATCTCCACCCTGCGTCCTCCCTTCCACTTCCTATGTTCTGGCTGCTCTTTCACGAAAGTAGAAATTTGCTTTAAAAAAGCCTCCCTGTTCACAGTAACACCACTGCTTCTCCGCACTGGCTTGGTTATTTGCGGGGTTAAAGTACATCCGTGGCCCTTTCTTTGGTGCTCGGTGAGGTTTTCTGTGACTAGTGAACAACAGCCTGTAGCTGCAAGTGTGGCCATACATCATTTCCCTGGCCCCAGGCCTGCTGGGAAGGGAGGGAGGAGGGGGAAGGGGGATGAAGAGAGCCAGGCCAGGCGAGGAGTTTTGTTTTGGCGGGGTTCGGGACAAGAATGCTGGCGGACCAGACATAATATTTAGATTGCTATTAAGTCTTTGCCATGTGAGATAGCATAGCAAGCTGTGGCTTTTCGGGAACAGTGTGCGCCAGACGTGCATGAGCGGCCCCCCCATTTATTCTCACTTTTTTTTTTTTTTTTTGCACCCTCAAATCTCCTTCCCAACCAAGACCCCATTTGCCTTTCCAGGAGACAAAAAACAATCCTGATTTCAGCAAGTTTGAGGAGAAATAAAAACTGAAAAAAAAAATGCCAAGAGAGCATCTAGCCAAGATTAATACACCCAGTGAGCTGCAGTGCTGGTCGGGACAGTGATAATTACAAATGGAGGTAGCCAGGGGGATTTGCGGAGATGTTGAAAGATAACATAAACACGCTGAAATTAGCCATTTGCTTCCTCCGATTTGGACAGTTCCCTCCTTTTGGTCTCTTGTGAACTGAAGTCCCGTTGGCGCCCCCACCCCACACCTCCCCTTCCCAATGTGAAGTGTGGCGCGGTGTGTGCCTGGTGTGTTTTATGGCTTGCTACACTAATGTCAGTGTACCGCCAGACGTTGAGATCTCTGGGGTGGGATGCGCTGCCAGCTGGCCACCATTCAAAATGCGGTAAGAGGGCTTTGGAGGTGTGATAAGGAAAGTCAAAGGTTTGATGCTTTTTGAAGGAGCTCTAATCTATCAACACTGGGCTTATAGCCTTTAGCACAACAGAAACGAGCAAAAACTGAAAAACAAATCAGTCTACCTAGAGTCAGTTTCATCATATGGCACCTGTTGTTGAGTCGAGGCTTTTTGGTGGAGGTCTTTTTGAGTGTGATTGTATTTTAATGGTAAAAGTGCTATTAATCTACTACAGCCAGTGACATATTGGTTGATTGTTGTATGGTTTATAGTTTGTAATAATCTCTTTTGTTTGTGTGTTTTAGCCATGTGTCCCACTGACCTGCAGCAGTTGTGGAAGGATGTGGCCGGTGTTCAGAGCACAGAGGAGGTCATGAAACACGAGGGCCTCGATCTGACCACCAACAGCTCCAACACTACCTCATACTCGGCCTCCAAGGTCTCACCTCAGATCCCTCATCATCCTTTGCCAAATGGACAAAACTCTGTGCACACTCCAAAGAGAGACAGGTCAGTGGAAAATGCATGAGCATACTTCATTTTCAACCTGATATAGAGGATCGCTTGTGACCCACCGTGTGTTTGATTATCCTCTCAATCTGTATTCACCTGCTTTCTTTTGCTCAGTCGACCAGTTATCAATCGTTCTGCTTCTCAGTTCTAAGAGCACATTTGCACACATATTGACAAACAGTCATATACTAAAATTCTAATCTTTAGTGATGAGCCAGCACTGGCGATTTAAAAAGTATTTTCAACCAGACAAGGTGGCTAGTGGGGGTGCCATAGCTGAAATCTACCCGGATTTGGCGTGCTGGCAGGTGTTAATGTCAAGCCCTGATTATTATTAATTAATTAATTAATTAATTTTGCAGGTTTTATCCATAAATTTCCATTAAAATCGACTAACTTTGTATAAAAATAATAATTATCATAAATTTCTACCATGATCCACTAAGTCGTCCTTTAACATCCCAAAAACTCCTACTATGCCTGTCTGGCATATTTAGAACAATAGTCATTTAATGGCATATTTAAATTTACTGAGACCACTTATTCTTCTATATAGTTGAACAATTACTGGTCGGAACAGTTTTTTATTTTTATTTTATTTTTTTACAAAAATCACTTTTGTAAAATCAGTTTGATGCAGACATCAATGTACAACATCTCATCTTTGACTCGAGGATAGCTTAAATATAAACAAAAAAGTTGTAATACAACCAAAATGTTCTGTTTAATGGCTAGTAATGGATTAATATTCTACATTTTAAGAAAAAACAGAATAGCGTTGGCAACTATTTAACAAGTTAAAATTGACAATATATAGACAGCAAACAAACAAGTGTTATAGCTATGGTAATATTTTCATCATGTGCATTCACAGTGCCAACCGTTACATGACAGTATTTTATAAACAGATATTTTTTGTCACACACATTCAAGGTCTTTGCTGTCAAGCGCTTTTTGATGATCTGATGTAAAATGCCTGGGTTCATTTGATATTTGGGGCTCGTGTGAGTTCCTCAGAACATAGCATGCCTTCAGCATGACTGACGCCCCTGTGCCAGTTTAATGTGTGTGTGTGTGTGTGTGTGTGCGTGCGTGCGTGCGTGCGTGCGTGTGTGTGTTTGTGTGTGTGGAGTGGGTAAAAATGTAGGTGATCATTTAGCTGAGAGGTGAGCATCTGTGTATAAGAGAGAGAGGAAAGTGGTCCTACTGTGAGGTACTCATACTTTCTTTCCATTTTGAAGAGCAAGACTCTTTGAGTGGATCTCGTCCTTCACCAAGGAGTCCAGTGACGAGCATCTCACGCCTTATTCCAAAGGCACTCCCCTGCAGAGCACTCAGTAAGTAAAACACACACACACATTTTATCCAAGCATCTAAATTGGCGCATATCTTAAAAGGAAAGTTCAACCCAAAAAATGTGTCATTATTTACTCATTTTTTACTCTTGCTTCACTTGTTCTAAACCTATTTGAGTTTCTTTTTTTCTGTTGAACATGAAAGTACATATCCTGAAAAATGTGGCAAAGCAGCAGCCATTGACTTTCATAATATGCTTTGTAGGGATGTCCTCAAGTCACAGTCATTTGATTTTGAGTATCTACCAATACCGAAACCCGATCCGATGCTTCTGTAATATATAAAAAATGAATAAAGAAGAGTGAAGAAACCAATCCAGGATGTTCCTAATTTTTTTGTTTCATTCAACTTCTTTCAACATTTAACAACTCTGTTAACAAACAGAGCACTTCTGTGAGGTAGCTTGAACAGTCAAGTAATAAATAACACGTTAGTGCAACAGTAAATATATTTAAACAATCTAATATAAAAACAACTAGCACCTCAACTTAAAATACCCAGCAGGCATGTAAACAAAAAAAGAAAATAAAAGTATATATATTTGAGTCCTCATCGGGAGGTAACATCCAATTCTAATCAAGTCTGAAACCGCATGATCGGACCCGATTTCTTATCACATGATCGGATCTGGACACCCGTAATGTTTTGTTCCCACCATGGATGTCAATGGCTATGGTTTCCAATGTTCTTCAAAAATATCGTTGTGTTGTTCACCTGGAAAAAAGTAACATCATCAAATATGAAAGTATCTTGCGCATTTTCATGAGAAAACATTTTCTGAAAACAAATTGCACTTTGAAAACAAAGTTTCATATTAAAAAGTATTTCCCCATGCTGTCACACAAATGGGCAGCCAAAGTTGTTTAGAAATAGTTTTAAACTGTGTCGAGTATTTTGATATTTTACTTTTATATAGAGATAATTTATCAGAGCCAACCCATCCTAAATAATCATATAACTACAGTATACAGTATATCAAATCAATTTTTATTGTCACATCATCAACAGTCCTTCTACTATGATGAGTTCAGTAGCTTAGATGCTGGTTCCAGACAAAATACAGACAGTATAAAATACAGCAACAGTGCAAAAAACAGACAGTGCAAAATAAGACAAACACACACTACACATGTAGGCACAGATAGACAAGTACACAGTCCAAAAAAAAAGGTGTACACATAGTTTGACTGTAGATGGAAAATTATTGTAGGTAATATTGTTTTAAATAAGGACTGGTATCCACACATAGCATGCATGCATAGTATAAACATACATTATTAGTAATTATTATAACAATAAGCATTTAAAGGCATTTTTATTCATTAATACATCATTAAATAAAAAAAAAAACAATAAAACATGCCTTTATAGACCATTTCAATGTGGTGATGTCATTGGCCCGTGAACATTTCCTGCTTGTTGTCAAACTATTTCATAACTAACAAGAGGCAATTCAACCATAACCTAATGTTAAAACAGCTATCATAACATTATTTATCAACATGTGGCTCTTTTTAGATTCTCGGAAGCTATAGAAATTAAAAATGTAAAACAAGAAATACGCTGGGACCATTGTTTTTGTTTACATCCCTCAAAATGGTCTATCGAATAAAACAAATATTAACATTTAACCTCTATCTAGTAAGTATAGATAAACTGAGATATAATGAGGTTGTTTTTGAAGATGTTTATTTATGGATCTCAATACCAAAAATGTACATTAGTTTTATTTTTTTAATGAGCATTGCGGTTTACTTTGTCTTGCAGTGTGACCTTTTACAGCGGTTTTGTGGATTCGTTTATGTAATATGGCCATTTTTACACTGGTAGGCTGTCCACACTACAGTTAAATAAACCCCCACACACCAGCAACACTAACACACACCGACCCTGTCATGCTACACGGACATGGCTAAACAGAAAGAAAAGCTCGCTCTCCGTCATGTTTTCTTCTAACACGGTTCTCTCTTACTTGGCCTAACACGTTTACACACAAACACACACACACACACAACTCAAAAGAGAAGAAAAACTGTGTGGTGAGGCTAATGCATGGCACATGTGGACAGTGTGGTTGCCAGTAGTTTGTAATGTCTAGCGCTAGAGCAGCTTCTGAATTGCGTGGGCCGTCCACTGCCAGCACATCTGATGAAGAGGAGGGAGGACGTGTGTGTGTGTGTGTGCATGCCGCTTCAGGAGGGCCTCATCTGTGAGCAAGCTGCTTTATATTAAGCAAGTACTCTGATGTGGAATTGGGAAGAGTTCCCCAGACCTTCAACCGCCACAAGCCGTGCTCCCCCTTCCCAACTTCAGCCCCCTGCCCATGCTTAGCAGCAGTCAGACACATGACGAAGGATTCTGTGGTTCCTGCCTTCACAAAAAAAACCCAAGCTACATGCTAGTCCGTGGCAGCCGGCCAGACCCAAAATGAAAAATTGCTGGATGAGACTGCTGGCGGGGGTTCGAGGCTGATCCGTTATGGGTCTCTACAGAAGCCGGGCCAGAGAGACCCAATCCAGACTTCTAGGCCACAGTGCACACAGTAGTGGCTGTATCTCAAACGAAACAGAACTGTAGCACTTATCCCCAGGCCCCACCAGCAGGCCTTGTCAGCACATCAACAACCACCTTATCCTCACTCTCGCAGTTACGCAAAAACATCTGAAGATCATCCACGTTAGTTTGTAATTAGATGGTGGCATGTTGTTCCTGGCCGCATCTGAGGACATTTGAACCTGCATCCTAGCGTGAGATGCTAATACAATGTTACACACTTAATATTGGCAGCCCGTCCATCACAATTATGGAAGACCTTTTGGTTTTTACATTTACCAGGTCCTTTCGAACTGCATTTGTTCAAAGCTTCCTGAAGGACTGTCTCAAAGCTATCGGCTTTCCCAGACACGGAGCGTCTGAGAGCGTTTCCATTGCTTCATTTCTTTGTATTAGTCGCATATGTGTGAGACTACCTCAAAATTGCTATAACATATCAACCCCAATAGGCTTTTTTATTAAGCAAGCAGGCGTTTCAATGTTTTTAAAGATTAAGTGTGTCATTTTTACCTCAGAAAATAGAGTAAAAAGTTTTCCTGAACACTCCTGCCACTTACATCAGGGGTGTCCAATCCTGTTCCTGGAAGGCCGCTGTCCTGCAGAGCTCCAATCACAAATAAACAACCATGGACCAGTTAGTCGTTGTTTTCAGACTGACTAGAATAGGTGGAATAGGTAGAATTGAGGTGCCAAAGTCAGTCCTGAAGAGTGGCAACCATATTCAAACATATGTGATCAAATTAATCGAGGTCTAAGGATTATTGGAAAGCCTGGACCAAACTTGGGCCCAGTGGACTTTGAACATCCAGGTGTGTAGAAGTTGCTCCATGAGCAGAATTGGACACTCCTTCATGTCACAGCTCAGGACACCGTCATCATTAGAGCTTTTTAATAAAACTGCACTTATGCCCTGGATTATCATTATTCTAAACACTACCTTTTAATTTAGAAGTGTCATTAGCTTGGCTTTTACACAAGGTTATAAAACCTTGCACCAATCTGGCACTGTTTGGCACCCTGCTTGGTGGTGCCAAACATGTGTCTCATTTTCACGTTCAGTCATGAAAACGCAACACTTTGGAAATAAACAGCCCCCCTTTATTTTGGCACTTGAGTGGAAAAATATCAAAGGGGGAAGGCAACCAGGTCATTTTTGAAAATGATCATAATTGCAGACTGTAACGTTGCTGTCCTTCAATGTTAACCATTTGCAAAGTTGTTAATCAAACAAAATGAATGATAAATAAGGGTATCGTCTCTCAAAAAAAAATAAAAATTGTCATCCTAACACCTGCTGATTCCACATCAACACAATCAAATTAACATATTTGCATAATCCCCATCTTCCTGTGACATAAAATCACTTTGAAATGGGTTTCCAACATAAGATATAGGGAAGACAAATCAAAACAGACTTGGCAAGTTGATCAATAAAAGCAGAGTTGGCTTATGGAAGGGTGGAGTTAACAGAGCTTAAGCTCTGAAATTATTAAAACTAACTCTCAAATTCATTACAAAATGACTCTTAACTAATATTCAGTTAATATTCTGAGGAAAAATACTATATTCTATGTATACAATATATCTAACATTGGAAACATTAAAACTTGTCGTAGGAGACTCCAACACAATATTACGAATTTTTTAAATAATCTAGTTAAGAAGAGTTTTATCAGTGAACTATGTGACCAAAAATAATAATAATAATAAAAATATATAAATAAATCAATAAATAAAACAATTGTTCATTAATCATAAACTAGGTAAAATGTTCAACTAATTTCGATTTTAGGCCAGATAGCCCAGCCATAGGCCTATACAGTGGGTGCCACTTTAAAAGGAGCATTACCGCTGCGAGTGGCACTGCCACCGCATTAACATGTGTTTTTAGGTACAACTGAGTTTACCACTTTGCCGCCAGGAGGCACAAAGGGACTGTATGAGAATGGACAGAAAAATGCAGTAGCTGTAAATCCCCTGCTACTTGTAAATAAAGATGAAATAATGTAACAAAAAATTATAATTCCTTCATTAATTATTAAAAACTTGTTAACAAGCTTTATTATCATTGTAAACTTGTTAAGTGAAACAAGGATTCATTTTGGAAAGTTAAGTTAAAGAAATAAAAGACAACTAAAATGAAAGTACAAACACATATATACACAAATAAGGAGGCATAAATAAATTAACAAAGCAGTGTTTTAGCCTAAGTATAGAGAGGTGTACAGTGTTTGTTATAAGAGGGTCAATAAATAAGCTTTTTCTTTTTTTTTAAGTTTTCATTTACAGTTTTCATTTACATTTTCTTTGTTGGTTATATTTTACTATCTCATTTTATGTTTTAATTATTGTACATGAATAATAAATAAATAATTTAATAGGCCTAAACAATTATTTATTTAAAGACATTACCAGCAAAACAAAGAACGAAAAAAACGATCCGGTGTATGGTCTAAAGGGCTCTGCTACTTATCAAAAACATAAAAATCTTAAAATCGGTGAAAACCTCAGGTGCGCTTACTACTGCCGTGGTGACAGCAAGCACATCGGCAGAGTGAACATTTTGAAGTGGTGACATGTGTATGCATAATATAAGGATGTTCAGTCCCAGAGCTGTTATGTGAACAGGTTTTACTTAGGGTTTCTACACCATGAAGCATCAACTTGTGAATACCCAGGTTTAATTTTTAACCCTGGGTCATTTATAAGAAGTGTAAATGGTCAAATAAGATAACCTGTTTACCCTCGATTAACTATTTAAAATCTGAAATATACGTGGTTCTAATAAGATCTTTTGTTTTTTGGTCATTCTCAGCTCGACCCACGAGGAACACACAGCCTCTCACCCACTCTACGGACACGGCGAGTGCAAGTGGCCTGGTTGTGAGGCACTCTGCGAGGACATGGGCCAGTTCATTAAGTGAGTGACAGCTGTCCATCAATTCCTCTCCGCAAGCATGTCATCTGCTACATTCATGTCAAACCTCGTAACTTGCATAAAACCCCCCTGTTGAGCTACAGAGCATTCATCATTGCCCGCTGTGTCCCTCAAAACAAGTCTCTGACTGTTAGTGTTTCCCCCTCGTCAGCGTGCATTCATCCTTTTTTTCGATGAGCTTGCAGATCGCTTGTAAACTAAAGGCCTTCTCTTGCACTGAAGTGTGTGCGGGGATGAGAGGACAGGCAATAAGAAAGCCGACCGACTGACAGCCGTGTTCAGGTGTGATGTTTAAACAGACAAGAGAGGAATGAATTCCACAGGGAGGTGGGGGGTGCAAGGTTATTGCTGAAGAGAGCGTGAGACATTCGCCAGCGCTGTGGGACTGTACTCGTGTATGAAAACGCTTGATAGACAGGTATTTCGCAGTGAGAGGACACAGGCAAAGTAAACTAGAGTGCCCTCTGTGGAGCTACAAGCAAATTTGTAGTATGGTGTGGATTTTAAATGTACATATAGATGTTTTATTATGTCTGTGTTGCTTTTTTTATTTAATAGTTGTATATAAACACACAATGGAACAAATATATCATGCAGCTCAACATAATCATATTCATTTTAATTGATGGTAATGTCTCAGGGGCCGGCTGCACCAGCAGTGCGCAAGTTAAAACGCAGCCTAGTTGTGACTTAGGTACACTCCGCACTACTAAATATTTTTTGTTGCACTACTGAACTTAGTTTAAACGTAAAACTACGTTCCAACTAAATATTTACGGTAGCATTCCCCATATAATGGTAGAAAAGAGATGACAGCGAGATTAGTTTACATTGAGGAGCTCTCGTGGATACTGAAGAATGATCTCCATCTACTCACAGCCTTAATTTCCTCTCAAATCTTGCATTTTTCAGTTTGTGAATGAAGAGTTTAATTATCTTTCTAGGAGTGTTTTTTGTTAATTTTTTTCCTCAATTACAAGAATTTTTCACGACTGAGTTTTTCTCTTTTATGTGTAGGATATTTGAAAAAATTCAAGTTTAATGTTTTGATAACGTGTATTTTGCATGCATTCAAGGCTCGCGATGCAAGTTTGTGCATCATCTTTAATTAGTGACTGACTGTAGGTACTATAAAAAATTTTTGTCATTTCATTTTCATGTGGTCCTCAACCTTTTGATCATTGCGGACTGGTCAACTCTTGAAAATTTTACCACTGACCACCTCCATTGTAAACAATAAACTTGCACGAACTCTAGAAAGAACAGGATATGCGAGTGGCCCCTAAAAAGTCACCATCATTTGGGATCTCCATTAGTTGATCTTTTTGAGCAGCCATGGTGGATTCACCTGATTTGTTGACAAATGGATTGCGGATCCATTCCTTGGCAGTTTGCGGGTCCTTTATTGGAAACTTCACTGAAAGAAATTTTACAGAGACGTCTGTTTTTTACTCATTTTGCTGCTTGTGGATTATATTTGGGCAGAATTTTAATGCAGTTTAAGTGCTTCTCGGATTAAAATGCTTCTTGCATGTTATGTCATTTAGTGTGACTGCGCATTACTTTACAGAGAGATTACAACCTACAAACAAAATTTTGTCTGAAGAACATGTGGTGCAACCGAAGTAAAATCAAACTAGCTATTAATTACTAAGCCTCTAGTTTGAACTTTACGTTAAAAAAGACCTTATGAACAGCAGTTGCAACCCTACCCTGATCAACAAATCAGAGTAGAATGGTTTGGCTCATGTGACACTATAGGCTGAAGTAATAGTGCAAATGTATTTTTTTTTATTCTATTTTTAAAACAATTATTTAACAATTATGGAAATTAACCATTATTTGTTTATAGCAGAGTTGTAATAACTAAACCTTTTTTAACTTCTATTTGTTGAACTACAGTTTTACTAAAAATACCATGGGTAAACTATAATTAGTGTTGACAAGTCGTGCTTAATTTGTTGTCAAAATGTTTGTTACTACAACCACAAATTTCCTTTGCGAATCTAACCATGGTATTTGCAGTAAAAAGTTGGTTATACAAGTGGAAAACACAGGGTTGTTACAATGTTACACTAAAAAAGTAATTCTAAGGGAAGTCATGATACAGTTATATATTTTTTATATAATTTCTTGATCAAATTAATACAGCCCTGGTGACTTTTAAAAGACTTTATCAAAATAGCTTAAGGGTTTTCAATATAAATGCCTTACAATAGTCGCCAAATGTTGCTGCAAAACATTTTAGGTCTAGAATATCAGAGTTTTAAAAAGCCTTTAAAAATTGATAAATCAATTTACAGAAATTTAAGGCTCTTAAAAAGCATTAAAAAGTCCTAAATGTTGTCTTACAAGGTATTAAATTCAGTATCAGTATGCTTAATGTTTACATAAATTTAATTGTTGAATATTGGGATGTTGTGTATGTAACCCCACCGGTTCTACAGCACCCAACCCGCTCAGAGCTGGGCTTGAATAAGCAACCTTTCGCATGGGAACAAGGGGGCTGAAGACCATATCCTTTAGCATCTGTCACTAGAGCACCTTTAGAGGTCAGAGGAGTTAGGTTTACCCGCACAGCACTTACTAGCTGGCCTCTGTTACATGTAGTTTATGAAATCAAAAACAATCCTGCTAGATTTGACATCACGCTGCTTTGTTTACTGCAGTAACCAGGGAGACAGTGTTATTTCTGCTGTTATAAAGGCGCCACCTGCTGGATTAACGTTTTTATTCGGTATATAAATACAGTTTTAGTTTAGGATTCGTTTTCTGCAATCAGTATTTAGTAAATTTACTGCAAGTTAAAATGTCAGCAATGTTACTGGTTGAAACCTGAAGTGGTAATGAGGTCTCAAAATGTATGCAAAGAGTCTTAAAATCGGTCTTAAAATGTGTTGAATTTCAATCTCTAAATCCTCTATATACCCTGAATATATTTCTCACATTAGTGTACAGGATTGTAAAACTTTTTATCTATGAAATTATAACAATGCAAGTGTCTTTACATTAAAACTTTAAATTAATCAATAGTTCAGTGTTCATTTATGACTTTATTTGCTGAATTCAGGTGTTGTCAGTGTGCACAAACTCCAGTAATGAACTGTACTCTTTATTCAAGACTTTTCCCCAAGGGTTCATCTTAATACTTTTGCACAGGAAGCTCGTTCACACTAGTAACCATAGAGACAGATGTCCTGTTCTCTTCCTGTTGACCTCTCCTGTGTTGAAGAGTGTGTGCGTGTGTGTACTGTATGTGAATATGTGTGTGTGTGCCTCTGATCAGGTAGCTCCTCACAGCTCTTCAATGCTGTCAGAGGCCGATTAGCTCCCCGCTCCCATAATTCCACCTCTCCATCCCTGAGCGCTCCACTGCTGGGTCAAGCAAATTGTTTTCACGCTTCGTTAGTGGTTTACTTAATTAGCTCATTTACAATTAGAAGCCTTTGTTTCTTGGATACAAGCAAAGACATCAAAAAGAGGCTCCCTCCCCTCCTCTATCTCCCTTTTCCCAATCTTCTTTCTTCTCTCCATCTCTTTTTCTTTGCGCGTGTGTTTGCCAGTTTGGGGTCTTTAGGGATGCTGGAAGGGGGGGTTTAGAGGAGATAAAGAGAGGAAGAGATCAGACAGGGAAGGCGATGTAAACAGTCCCATTGTCTCTGTGTGTTAAAATAATGAGACTTCACAGTGGAAAGTCCTGACATGTCCGCCTGTCACAGGGGTGCGAGTCAGACTGTTGCTGCTGCCGTTGCCCCAGCGGGCTTGAAGTTGGCAATCTACACTCTCTCTACGCTCTTTATTTTCTCTACTTCGACCACCTTCTTTGATAACTAGCAGGTCAACAGTAGCCCGAGTTGTAGATGCAGTTGACACTGCAGTAAAAAGATGCTTGCTTTTGCACCTGTCAATGTTGAGATTTTCTTTCTTTTTCTTTCTTTCTTTCTTTTTTTCTTTCTTTCTTTCTTTCTTTCTTTCTTTATTTCTATCTTTCCTTTTCTTTTTCTTTCTTTCCTTTTTTTCTTTCTCTTCTTTCGTTCTTTCTTTCTTTCTTTCTTTCTTCTGTCTTCTCTCCTTTTTCTTTATTTCCTTTTTTCTTTCATTGCTTTCCCTTTTTTTTCTTTCTTTCTTTCTTTCTTTCTTTCTTTCTTTCTTTCTTTCTTTCTTTCTTTCTTTCTTTCTTTCTTTCTTTCTTTCTTTCTTTCTTTCTTTCTTTCTTTCTTTCTTTCTTCTCTCCTTCTTTTTCTTTATTTTCTTTTTTCTTTCATTGCTTTCCCCTTTCTTTCTTTCTTTCTTTCTTTCTTTCTTTCTTTCTTTCTTTCTTTCTATCGTTCTTTCTTTCTTTTCTTTTGTTCTTTTTCTTTCTTTCTTTCTTTCTTTCTTTCTTTCTTTCTTTCTTTCTTTCTTTCTTTCTTTCTTTCTTTCTTTCTTTCTTTCTTTCTTTCTTTCTTTTTCTTTATTTTCTTTCTTTCATTACTTTCCTTTTATTTCTTACCCTTTTCTTTTTTTCTCTTTCTTTTTTCTTTCTTTCTTTCTTCCTCTTTTCTATTAAAACATTTTTTTTTTCATTTTAGTTTAAAGAAAACATAAAAAGACATGTTTAAGTGTGTATAATCATGTATAATCCACTTGCCTGATTATATTGGCCTAAAATATTTTGTTCTACACCCCCCCCCCCTCCCTCCCATTTTCTGTCTTTTCAGTATTAAAAGGTTGTCAAAAATCCGCTCTGTGAAAAAAACAACATAAATGTTGAAAAAAAAACGCATGTATCAAATTTATTTATGCAATGTATCAAAATATTTTTAAAAATGTATAAAATTATATAAATATAAATGTATAAATTCTTCTTGTTGAATCGCTAAATTGCCTCAGAAGTGGTCAAATCATCTGCTAAATTACTAAATGTGTATGTATTTAGTGTATTCAGATATTTGTGCTTAAAATGAATGCAAATAAGTGCACATTTAATTAAATAATGCCTC